TTTTAAGATCAAGATGAACTATACTGAACAGAGTTTTAAAATATACACATGGAACAAGAGGGGGCAGAGAAGCTCAATCTTCTCTCACTGAAATTACAGTCTCCATGTTAGTCAAATATCCCACGTTCAAATGCCAAAGGCAAGAAAGGTTGCAAGGACTCTGTGGGAATGTGGCACACATCACACATGAAATGCAGCATGACATCATGCAAATGACCTGATTTCTTTCTCTTCCTTGGCTTCATCCCTGCTCAACCCTTGTACATCTGTCGATATTGCCAGCCAGTCGTACTGATCAGGTCTCACTAGGGTATGTCCTTCACTTAGTACAGATAGCATGGACTGGTTGAACATAGGCATAGGCATAACATATGGCAGGTAGCAAGATGAGATCATATTCTGATAGGCAGTTCTCAGCTATACTATCAATGATGTGTAATAACAGGAGTGAATACTTGTGTGCCAAACAGTATGAATGATACCAGTTAAAAGCTTCTTCAGCCAATTGCCATTATCAAGCCCATACTTTAGATTTTAACTTGTTGGGAGAAACTGTCTTCTGCCCCACTTCAGATTAGTTACCATGAGCACAGAAACAGTTTTTGTGAACTCCACCTGACCAAAATGTTCTGCAGCTCCCACACAATGTTGTAGCATTTACATATTCTACCCTAAGATCATATCTTGCCCACATAGAAGCAGTTTAACAGGTTCCAAATTATTTTGCAATGTCAATTCAAAATGTTAATTGCAAAAAAGACCTTCTTCAAGCATGCAGAATCTGTGGCCCTCCAGATTTTGTCAGACTACAAGTCCCATCATTGCCAGCTGTCTGTCATGCTGGCTTAAGCTGATAGGAGTTTGCATTCAGCAACATTTGCAGGGCTACAGGTTCCCTACCTATGGCTCATTTATTTATTACATTTAAAAACCTCCTGGTAACTTCAGTCATCTGAGTGGTATGGAAACTGAAAGCATGGGAACACAAAACAGAAATACGGCAAGTAAAATAAAAATAGGATAAAGTAAGTCAGATCAAAACCAGTGGCACAAAACACCAGAAGGAAAACTGATGCAGTTTGGAACCCAGATATCTGGGACTGTCTTCTTCACTATAACTTCTGTATCCTTCTCTGAGTTCATCATTTGAGGCCTTTATCTTTCAGGGGTTTGGTGGGTGGGAACCAGAGGGAAAGCATTTTTCATAGTGCTTCCCAACTTTCAGAATGCTACCCCAGAGAAACCCACCTAGAGGCCAGATTGATGTTGTTTTGTCACCAGATGAAGGCCTTTGTGTTTTCTTTGTGTTTCGCTTGTCTGCTTTGTTAAACAGTTGGAAGCCATGCTTTGTCTTCTTGAAGGTTTTTCTCCCCCTCCACTGAACTGCCGTTGCTGTTCTTAGTCTTCCTGTGTTTTCATTTTGTATTGTGTTGTACTTTTGCATGGAATAGTTTTATATTTATCTTACTTGTAAGCCCCCTGGGAATATGGTTAGGTGAGGAATATAAATGATGTGAATACATAAAGCATAAGCATTTACTGCCTTAGGGAAGATTCACACACATCAGATTCTGCTTCAGCAGTGATGGTCCTTGATCCAGTGAGGGAAAGTTCCAGCAAGAGTTACAGAGAACATCAGCAATATCATTCCAGGAAAATGTTGTAGGGCATTTTATGTATTTACTATTACATTCCCATCCTGGTTTTCTTCCATTTTGCCAAGAATACAAGGCAGCTTACATGGTCCTCTTTCGCTCCATGTTATACTCACAACAGTCCTCTGAGGTAGGTTTAGCAGAGAATCAGCAATTGGCCCAAAGTTCCAATGAGCTTCATGTCTACATGGAGACTAGAACCAAGATCTAGTTCAAAGCTCTAAGCACAACTTTATCTATCTATCTATTTATTTATTTATTGTTCGATTTATATCCTGCCTTTTTCCTACAAAGGGCTCAAGGCAGATTTCGTCTCTTCCTCCATCGTATCCCCACAACAACCCTGTGAGGTAGGTTGGGCTAAGAGTCTGTGACTGGCCCAAAGTCACCCACTTGGCTCCATGGCTGAGCGGGGACTAGAACCCAGATCGTCTGAGTCCCAGTCCCATGCTCTTAACCACTACACCATTATGCTGACTAATTAACTTCCACTACACAATTTTGTGAAGTTGCTGACATTCCACACGCAGCCATGCTCCTTTCATTGCCTTCACAAGACCCTTAACATATTGAAGGTTGGATGCTGGCATTGTATATGGCATGCATAAAGGAGAACGAAGGGGAAGGCCACCCTTAATTATTCAGTGATTGCAATTACTTGATGTGCAACCCTTCTCTTTGCCAGAAGATACGTAATTCAAGCAAGATTGCAAATATATCGTTATCCATTAAACAGTAGACAGTGCAATAAGAAAAGGGACAAAGAAAAGTTGCCCGGCAGTATTCATAAAAATCAGCATCATGGAGAATAGCTTGAGAAAGCACAGATACTACATCTTGTTCTGCTGTGGTCCCCTTTTGTCCTCATGTTCAACTTTTAGCAGCACCCACGATTCTTCATACTATATGATTTTTTAATATATTTGCAGACAATCTATAACAGAAAGTTCTCAGAATGGCTTCACTAAGAGAACTAGTTAACTAGAACAGATGAAGCAGTGAAGCTAAGAGCTATTTGATGTGGCGAGGAATTGGCCTATCAGCAAACACTGAAGCAAACCTCCAGGACCTGAGACCCCAGAATTTTTATTTATTATTTATTAATTAACAATATTTATACCCCATCCTTTACAAGATGTCCCAGAATGAAGGGTTTTACTTTGCCCCTCCTTGCCATGTATACCTCTCTTGCTGTGTATGTACATATATGCTTGTATATATGTGTGTGCATGTGTCATGACACAAAGGGGCACGACACAAGTCACGACACAAAGGCGCAGAGGACAGAAAAAGCCAACAGCTAAGAAAAAGACATATGCGAGAAGAAATGGAAAGCAAATGGCAATACTAGTTCGAGACACTGGCAGAGGAAAGAAAGAAGCAGAAGTAGAGGTGGATAATGTGTTATTTTTGCTTTTCCCCATATTCAAGCTTTTCTCTATCTCAGCTGCTTTTCACCCCATTTCTGGAAAAGAAAATTACCATGTGACAACTTCTTATCCAAAAAAATGAACCAGTATGGGGAGTAAGAACTTCACATACACCTCTAGAGCTGTTGCAAAGATGAAATAATCATACTAGAAACAAACTCCACCTGCTGCCATGGTGTTTTCAAAGTGATCTGGTAAAGGATTGAATATGTGGGTATGTGCAACATCAGCATAAGAAACGTACTACAGTGGCAAAGGAATTTTGGGATGTTTGTCCAAATCAAAACCTATGGTTGTTGAGAATTAAGAATTAGGAGGCACTACTTCATCACAGACTAAGAGGAGAACTGCAATAGAGTGCATTTTATTTATGAGGGGACGCAGCCTTGGCATTTATGCAAAATGCATTTATCACAGCTGGGGTACCTGCTCATGTGCACAGCATCACTGGAACGTGAGCCTCTGTCACGCAGAAGTGCTATTGAAGAAGAAGCTGGAAAGGGGATATATGCCGGATTTTTTTAAAAAATTCATTCGCTAGGTCCATGAGCAAAGGAGTAGATGCTTTTTTAAAAAGAGGGTGAACAGTTCTTTCTGCCCCCCAGAGTCATGGAAATGGAGGAGAGGAGAGGGAGAGGCTGTGGTGCTGCCAGCTGCCCTGTTTCCATGGCATGAAGCCAACAGAAGCGGCAGCCACATTGTCCCCAATCCAAAGGCAAACAAGTGCAGCCCTTCTCCTGTGCTCACTTTCCCACCACTGAGCTCCATTGGAGCCAGAGTGAGTCGATGAGTAATGCCATTGAAAATGATGGGATTTTCTTCTGTGCACGTATACATTTCAGCTAGTCGTTTCTTGGACAAGAGGACAGAGGAGAGAATTCAGTAGCTTGAAAAGACATCGCAAACTTTACTTTTTCAAAGGATAGGGTGGGGGATCAGGAAGCAGTGTGGCATTTGCAAGTCAAAGAGAGCAAAGCCATGGGGTGGGGGCCAAAGTGAGACATCAGAGCAACTGAAGGATCTGCTGTTTTGAGGATGCCCCAACGGAATACTTCCTCTTCCTCACCAAACTAACGAAGTCACTCTGCCTGGCCAGATCAGTACTGCAAGTTTAGCGCACACTGATCATATATATCCAGGGAAAAGCACAACACATAAAATGCCACGGCATCACAAGTCTGAAGAAATATGGGAGAGAATGGCAGAACTAATACAAGGAAAATGGGTTGGGGTGAGTGTCATATGGCATTCCAGTGAGTCAGGCATTATTATAGTGCCAGTAAAAATGCCCCATTGCTTGCCCCTAAAAAACTTCTAAGTGGAGCTGTAATTAGTATACGACAAGGTTGTCACTATTCAAACCATTTTTTTTCAAATATACATCTACTTGTTTACCTATTTATGCAGTATATGTACATGCCACCTTAGTAGCAAGTGCCATACTGGGAAAAATACAATTCCCAGTGTTGCTGGCTCATAGTGCCAGTACCTTGCTATGTACTAGAGTGGGGAGAGGAAAGTGAGAGACCTTCTTCCACTCCACCGCTGGAGCATGGAAGCATTTGGAGACAGAAAGAAAGGAATTCTTCATACTGATTAGAGAAAAGGAATTCTTCATACTGCTTTGGCTTGCTGAGTTTTGTATTTTCTTGATGTATGGAACTCAGCATCATAAGCATGCTTTATACAAATCGTGTTCATGAATATTATGGGGATTTCCATTCCTTTTTCCTCCTTGCACCATAAAACACATTACCAAATAATAGTAGAACATTATATGCTCACTGTGATGCTGATCATTAAAGGGGCTATTTCTTCCAATTAACATACCGTTCTTCAACATGCAAGTTATCTGTATGTCATGCAGTATAATTAATGGATACTTATTCTTATTCTCATATGTTTTGCACTACAGGTTACCCAACCTTTCCCAGGAAGTCCAGGGCATATACAGCTTCATACAAAACCTTTCCTTGTCTGTGGAGGTGATGGATTTGTTCATTCCAACTTTGATGGGTGCATAGATTCAGCCATGAGTGTTGTGGAGGCTTTGAGGTCCAGTCTATAGGACTGTCCCCCCACCCCAACAGCTTATTTCTTTGATGAATTATACATTGATAATACTACAGCTCAGGATAGTTAACCTACTTGTCCTCTATTTAAATGAAATAAATCATTAGAAGACTTCAAACGTTTCACAGATTTATTGTAATAGTGGTGAATGTTTCTTCTTTATTTTCTCTGCATTGAGGACATGAACTGTTATAACTTTTCCAGCTGCACAGGTTGTCAGAAATGCATAAAGAATTGTTGTATGTCTTTATCCTGATTACCCCTGAAACCAGTGACACTCAGAGTTAGGGAAGGAGGAAGAAACCTTACAATGGTTAATTCTTATATTGCCCAACTACTACAGAATAGTGGAAGAGCTATGCCGACATAAGTAAACCTATGATATCCAAGAGGGGTAGGTCAGTAGTTGGTTTGGGGAGCTTCACTTTTGCAGTCAACAGTGTGTATGTGTGTGTATGCAGTATGTCTGTGCATAAAATCTCTCAGGGACAGTTAGGAAACTGGCAAATGTCATGGGGAGTACCTTCTGTCAAAATGCAGTAGGTCTCAACCCTCAACCTAGAGGAGTTCCAAATAGGTTTACTTGTGCTTTGCTTTGCTTTGCATTTTGCTTTGCTTTGCTTCACAAGCTGTCAAAAGAGAAAATAGCTCAGTACTTATGCCCCTCTATAGCTGAGATCCTCACTGTTTGGAGTGTCCTTTCCATATGTTCCAGTTTCCCAACCTTTCACATAATCCCAAAACTCCAGCATTTGGGAAAGTGGAAAAGTGCAGCACAGCTCTTCTTACTGACACGTAACTTGGACAGCTGTCAGAAATAGGGCTTTTTGTTTGTTTTTGGAAAGCAGGGATTTTAGAAGGGCAAAAAAATTGATAGTTATTGTCATGAGCTGGGGTTCCTCCTTCATGCATTCAAAATGCATTCCTGCTACAGTCCTTTTTCCTTGCAAAGTGTTCTTTATTGACCAAGAAGCACAAAGTACCCAGAATGATTCTCTGAGCAGGCACAGAGCAATCTGTTGAACCCAGTCTAGTATTCTCCTGCCAGAATTCTCCTGATGAACATGCCTGGGCTCCATCCCTTTGGCAGGGTTCTTCTGAAAGCAAAATGCCTCCTCTCCACATGCCAATCCTTTCATTGGGCCACCCTCCTCTGCTGGTGGCATGTCATGCGGTCAAGAGGTGTGCCTGCCTTGCCTGAGAAACTCCCCTAAGTTCCTTCCTGCCACCTGTACATCTTGGTTATTCCCAGAGACTGCCTGCCCACCTGGTGAGCCTGGCCTTGAAATAAGCATCTCTGCTTCCCTCATTGCAGTGTGGCCCACATTCCTGGGCCCTCCCCAATTCTGCTTCACAATCCGATTTTGATTCTTCTGAAGTCCAGCCAGCAGTCCTTGAGAATGAGCACCCAAAGCTGCCATCTTTCTAACTCCCAACAGTTCAGGCAGGAGGTACAGAGTTCCTCTACAGTCTGACCAAAACGGAAAACTCCCCTCAGATTTGTGCATATTTAGGATGCATTTTTTAAAACACATGCCACTTGGGTGCTTTGGAGTGGTTGTCAGTGCTGACAGCATGAGTGAAATTGCCAAGAGCTGGCAAAGGGGTTTCTTGCCATGCTTGCTAAGCAGTTTGCTTACTGCATGTCTTTACCCATGGATGTTCAGTCACCTGGGTCTGGACCCTACATGGATCAACCCTACATGGGTGGTCTTGGTTCTGAAAATATGTGACCCATCATGGCTTGTCACCTACATTCGGTTGTAATGTTCTGAAAACCAGTCATGGTCAGGATTCACCTTGATCACACTAGAAGAAGGTTCTGGACAAATGCAGATTACCACCAGCTAACCACAATCAGCACCAAGATGTCTTCTTCTTTGTAATTTCCTTAAACCAGACTATTCACATTTTATAGATTAACTAAAGCTGGACTGGAAGTTCTTTAAGTATGTTGAGCAGAATTTGTAATGAGGCAATGGAATTTGCAAACCCTGACTCAAAAAATAATTGTCCCAAGTTTTTCAGAATGAGTGCCACTTCACAATCAAGAACAGGGAACTGCTCACTATTAAATGATGACAAATGAGTTCTTTTCCCCCCTTGGCCGCTACCACAGGTTGCAAAAGCAACACCAACTCTCTTGCTCAGCAGCTGGGTTGCCATTTTGCTTTCCCCATAATGTTCAGCAGCATTGCAGAACACTGTGAGGGAGAAATTATTGATGGGAGACATCATTTTCTTCACATTCAATAGAGAAAGAATCTTTCAGAATGTAAGTGCAGAAGAAAACAAAACTGACATATTTGACCATCCCTTGTAAAACTCCTGTTGATAAATAGAAGCACTGCTGTGAAGTTTCCAAAATGGAGAAGGACATTCCCCTGAGAGAAGAGGGTAGCAGAAAGAAAATAAAGGCAGGAGCGAGGAAGATTCATACCACTGTAGCTAACGGTAAGCCACCATGAAATTCACCAGTCAAGAACAAGAATACAAATTTCAGGGTCCATTGGGTTCATCCCTTTTAAGCACTACTATGGTGTTTCCCAAGAACACTTGCTAGTTTGTGTCCGACACAGGAAAACCATAGCATTAGCCATTTACTGACATTTTAAAAAATTCAGAAAGTTGACAGGAGCTGATCATTTAAAAAAATGAACCACCACCACCCTAAAGTGTGTGTGTACTCAGCTGAGAAATGGGGTTAGTAGCTGTGTGATATAATGTAGGTTGGCTAGTAAGTGCAGTCTTTGCTGAAATAAAACTTTACGATGCCTTGTTGGAAAAGCTCAATTAACAAACTGTCAGCCCACATGTCCTGTTCAGGAGCTGAGGATGACAAATGATCACAAGTGAGCAGTAATTTTTTTCCACCTTGAATGTTTTCTGCAAGCAGAAAATTACCTTGCATTAAGGGGTGGGGGAGGGGAGAAAAAAGGCATGCATCGTGCTGTTGAAACCAGCACCTGCATTATGTTTCCAGAATTGTGTTTTGGGCATGGGGGGGGGGGAGGTGATGGGGAAAGAACCTCACTGTGAAGGGGAATTAATCTATTCTCAGTATTTACATGGGGGTGTGATTAGGAATTGACATTAGGCTAGTATGCAGTTTCCCCTTTCTGTTCTCCTAGCAACAGATCTTAATAGTCCACTTGAGTAGGACAGGGTTTTATTTCATTTTGTTTTTCAAAATCAGGCCTGCACCAATGGTTTGCAGTGTCTGGATAATAAAAAATAACTCCAATCCAGTGCTGTTTTGCTGATGTCTGTATCCATAGACCCAGATCTTGATATCTTAGAACAAGCAATTTCCACTGCTGTTTCTCAAACAGACTTGCCTGGGGCAAAATCTCACTGAGGAGCTATTCCATTTTCATGCAACAACTATTGTGAGTGACATCTGCAATAGTACATTGCGATATCTCCAGACTAGCATTAAGATCCAGTTGAGACATTGCCTTGTGCCAGTTGAAAATCCATTACACCAGACCTGGGCTAACTTTAGTCCTGTGTGGCTGAATTTTATTTGATTAGAATCCCAGTCTACCAAGATGGGTTAGAGGTACAAAGGATCTCTTATTGACAACAGCACAACTAATCCATGTTGTAGAGCCCTAAATGTGATCTCCCATTAATGCAAGTGGCTTGGCAAGGGGTTTTCTGTGGTCTGCTTGTTCAGCAGGTTTTGCAAGAATCCCCTCAATAAGCAATATGCCCCACTAGAAATTGGCCAGAGATTACCAAAAGGGTGCAGTTTGTCTTCTCTGCATCTATTTGCTGTACACAAGGAGTGGAAAACCTGTTCAAATCTTTGGTAGATTACAACTCCCATAATCCATGACTACTGACCACAATGGCTGAAACACGAAAGTTGGAATCTATTGATGTAGGCCAAAGATTTTCCAGCCAGTGAATTTTCCATATAGGTTTTACAAAAAAGAAACAAGATAAACTATAAGGAAATATATTAAGCATAACTCGTTCATTGCAGGAGATACAGGTGCTTTTCCTCTGGCTTCTGCATGGAAATCTTACTTTCCCAGTTCCTTGAACTACAGCCTGATGACTAATTATTTGAGATTCTTTTTCAGAGTGTGCATACATGACCTATTGGATAAGGTGCATTCAACCACTCATAACAAGAGACACAGTTTCTCCCTACCACTGCAATGCACATTGATGTATTTCAGAGCCTTTTTAAATATGTAAAGCAGCCATGCAAAGGGGCCCTGTATATGTCCAGGGGTAGGTGCAGACTGCATCTCCACGCAGGGCGTTGGTGGGATCCCAGGCCAACTGGGGTCTTCCCTCATGCATAGAGCTCTACACGTGTGTATGCACAGTTCTCCATCCTCTCCATTTGAACTAGTATCTCCTCCCAGCTTCTATGGAGACAGAGAAATTGTCTCTGAAAAGAGATTAGAGTCCCATAAAAAAAGAAAGTAGATTAAGACAAAACTCATTGAACTGAATCAATTTCTTCTTCAATAGTTGGTTAAAATTTACATCAATGTTGCCATAAAACTTCCATGCAAATCTTTCATATTTCCATATTCTAAGTATTCCTTGGCCATGATGAGATTTAAATTGCCATGCAATGTTCCATTCTCCTCCTCCAAATCTGCTAGAAAATGTAGGTGTTTACTTTCACAGCTTTTGAAGGTCAATTTTATCTCTGTTGGAACAACTTAAAAAATATAGAAAAGTATGCACATAAGGTGCTAGGAGCAAAGTGACCCCATAAAATGCTGTTGTTGTTTTTTAGTTACTCTTCATGTTTATAAATGCTTAGATTAAAAAAAAACCACATGGGTTTTTCCCCTCCATTTGTTCTAAGAGCACAAAGAGACAAATACAATATTTTGTCTATCTTCACAATATATGAATTGCTAAATTTTCTTAATATTACTATGAACAGTATGGGGTATCAATAGTACCTTGTCGGCTGACAAATTAACAAGCATGTGTGTTAAAACATTTTTTTCTCCAGGCAGAAGCTTTCTTATGACTCAAAGTTTTTCCATCGTAACTATTTTCAGAGTTCATTTTGAGCAGCACTTGCTTACTCTGCTTCCAAGATAATCTTGAGAGACTCCCCACAATGCTCTGTATTGT